CCCCAAGGGGGCCCCAACAACACCCAGGATGTACGGAAATGCAGGGACACTGAGGGCACGACTCAGGGCTTTCCACGCAGGGCCCGCGGGGCCCCCGAGGCCCCTTCCAAGGGTCCTTCCTGGGGCCCTCCAAGGGATTCCAGGGGCCCCACAGGGGCCCCACAGGGGCCCCCGGGGGCCCCTGGGGGGTCCAGGGGCCCCCGGGGGGCTCCTGGGGAGTACAGGGGCCCCCAGGGGGCCCCTGGGGGGTTCAGGGGCCACCTAAGAGGCCCTAGGAGGGCCTCAGGGGCCCCCTGAGGGGCCTCTGTAGAAAGGCTTCGGGGGGCCCCTTAGGGGCCCCCTGGGGGCCCCCTGGGGATATTCGCAGGGGGCCGGAATAGCTAAGGTTTGGCACTGTTTGCGTTTGCAAATTTGGAAGCAAAGGAGCTTTTTGTGCTGCTGTTTAGAAAGGAAAAAGAGAAGTAGTTCGGGGCGTTTCTGGGGTGTACGTACACCTGAGCGGTGGGCGTTTTGGGGTGTACGTACACCTGAGCGGGTCTGGCCCGCGCCCTTTGCCGTTGGAAGAAACGGCCAGCGAGTGAAATAATGAAATAAATGTTTATTATTTATTTATTTATTTATTTATTTATTTATTTATTTATTTATTTATTTATTAGTTGTTTGTTTAGGGTTTGTTCGCTCTAGCGAATGAACAGCAAATTCGACAAATTGAATTTCTTTTCCAAACTCGCCTTTTGCTCTTCGCGTTTGTCCGGAGCAAAAAAGAGTCCAACAAAACAAACAAATAAATAAATAAATAAATAAATAAATAAATAATAAATAAATAATAAATAATAATTAAATAAATAATAAAAGAAATTAATAAATAAATAATAGACAAATTGTGCTGAGTTGGCGAAACGCGAAAGTTTTGGTCTTTTGGAGTGTACTTACGTACACCTGAAACCGCCCCCCCAACGCCAAACCCTAAACCCTAAACCCTAAACCCTCGCGGAGAAGGGTTTGCTTTTGTTCGCACCCCAGAGCGCGCTGCCAGCCTCAAACCCTAAACCCTAAACCCTAAACCCTCGCGCAGAAGGGTTTACTTTTCTCCACTCCTCAAAGCGCGCCGCGAGCTCAAACCCTAAACCCTAAACCCTTCTCAACTAGGGTTTACCTTTTCTTCACACCTCCGACCGCCCCGCTAGCCCCAAACCCTAAACCCTAAACCCTAAACCCTCGCCAATTAGGGTTTACTTTTTCTTCTTTTTCTTTCCCGTCGAAACACTCGCGGGCTGCTGCGCTGCTGCCCTCGACTTCAACTTTGGAATCAAAAGACACATTTGCTCCATCAGTTGTTTTTCTGAATTAAAAAAATAAAAAATAATTAAATTTAAATTAATTAATTAATTAATTAATTAATCAATTAATTGATTATTATTTAATTAATTTGAAATAAATTCATTGTATTCGTAATGGAAGTCATTTACCTGAATTAAATAAACCAAAAACCGAAACCCCAAACCCTAAACCCCAAACCCTAAACCCTAAACCCCAAACCCTAAACCCTAATGGACGCACTGGTGGTGATAGCTTCATTAAAGGGTTTTCCGTCTTCCGCTTTTAGCTGAAACCTCAGACGGCCTTTGCTGAGCAGCCAGTCCTTGGGGTATCTTTTGTTCTGAAAATAAAAACAAATAAATAAATAAATAAATAAATAAATAAATAAATATAAATAAATAATAAATAAATAAAAATAAATAAATAAATATAAATAAATAAAAATAAACAAATGAATGGGGGCTAATTAGTTTGCGCGACGCAGGACTGATGTGCGGCTCGGGACGGCAGATCGCTCAGCAAAACCCTAAACCCTAAACCCTAAACCCTAAACCCTAAACCCTAAACCCTGACCGCGCACGCCCAGTCGCTAAAGCCCGAAATCGAAACCCCAAGCCCTAAACCCCAGCGGGCAAACCCCAAACCCCAACCCCCGCCCCCCAGCCCCAAGCCCCAAACCCTAAACCCTAAACCCTAAACCCTAAACCCTTGCCGGCTCGATGTGGCAGGGGATGTTGAGGTGCTGGCAAACTGCATGCATTTCGGAAACTTGGGGCTTTTCAATTGCAATTTGCAAATGGACTTTTCTTCCTTCTTTAATGGAATACTTTTTGTTCAAAAAAGCAGGATAAAGAATTTTCCATTTGCTGCGGTCCACGCCGTCTGCTGCTGCTGCTGCTGCTGCTGCTGCTTCCGCCTCCTCCAAACCCTCGCCCCCAAACCCTAAACCCTCGCCCCCAAACCCTAAACCCTCGCCCCCAAACCCTAAACCCTTGCCCCCCCCCAGAATGCGAGACAACAATTCAGGGTTTACTCCTTCCCCCAAACCCCCCATCGGGGGAGGCACCCCCCGGCTCCCCCGAGGCATCGCGAGGGTTTAGGGTTTAGGGTTTAGGGTTTAGGGTTTGGCGTTCGCAAGAGCGCCAGAGTCCGCGCGGACAGGGAGACAGGGAGACCTGCTGCTGCTGCTGCTGTTGCTGCTGCTGCTGTTGCTGCTGCTGCTGCTGCTGCTGCTGCTGCTGCTGCTGCTCCTGCCGCTGGCGTTCTGCTGCCCGTGCTTCTGCTGCTGCTGCTGCTGCTGCTTCTGCTGCTGCTGCTGCTGCTGCTGCGAGCTTCTAATGGTCTTTTTCAGCGGCGAAAAAAAACAAAAAAAGAAAAGAAGTCCCGGCTGCTCAGGTGTACAGACAGCTCGCGACCGCCGAAGGCAGCAGCGGGGAGGCGCTGCTGTTTTATGTTTTCTGGTCTTTCTTTTTCGAAAAAGAAAAAGAAATTCTTTTTAATTGTTTATTTAAATGAAAATAGCTAAAAAGTTTTCTATTTAGACCCGCGTATTCCCTGCGATCTGCTGCTGCTGCTGGTCGTGGCGACTGCATGCAGCAGCAGCTGCTGCTGCTGCTGCCACAGTCTTGGCTTGAAATTTAGACAAAAATGCCAATTTTAAAATACTTTTACTTTAATTACTTTTATCTTTTTTAAAAAGAACCATTTTCTCTTTATTTTGGAGTTTTAGACTGCGGCGCTGCAGCCGGAGCTGTATGTACACCCCATTTGCCACCTACGAGCAGCAGCAGCAGCAGCAGCAGCAGCAGTCGCGGTTGAAACAGCAGTGTCTGCAGCAGCAGCAGCAGGAGTGTAACTGCAGCAGCAGCAGCAGAAGTGTAACTCCGGCAGCAGCAGGAGTGTAGCAGCAGCAGGAGTGTAACTCCGGCAGCAGCAGCAGCAGCAGTGTAACTGCAGCAGCAGCAGCAGCAGCAGTGTAACTGCAGCAGCAGCAGCAGCAGGAGTGTAACTGCAGCAGCAGCAGCAGCAGGAGTGTAACAGCAGCAGGAGCAGCAGCGTTATATGCAGCTCCAGGAGCGCTTCGACCGGCAGCAGCCGCAGCAGCCGCAGCAGCAGCAGCAGCAGCAGCAGCAGCTGCAGCAGCTGCTGCAGCAGCAGCTGCTGCAGCTCCTCGGGGCTTCTCAGGAATGACCCAAAAGTCTTTTTATTAAACCCTTTTCTCTCAATGAAATCTTTTTTTATTTTATTTATTTCTTTCTCCTTTTCTTTTCTTTTCTTTTTGCTGCACTTCTCCTCAGCTGCTTTCTTAACTGCCCTAAACCCTTCAAACCCTCAAGGGGGGCCCCCCTACCTCGGGGGGCCCCCCTGTGGGGCCCCCCGGGGGGCCCCCCAAGCCCCCTGGGGCCCCTTCATTGGGGGCCCCCTGGGTTTTATAAATTGCTCTGAATTGAGTTGGGGTTTAGAAGCAAAGAAAAGCAAAAAGGGTTTTGTTTGGGGGCCCCCCTTTGCGTTGTTTGCCAGCAGCTCTTCTAGCGAGCAGCAGCAGCAGCAGCAGCAGCAGCAGCAGCAGCAGCAGCAGCAGGGAGACTCCCCCGCCAGCTTCTCGGGCCCCTCCCCCAGCAGCAGCAGCAGCAGCAGCAGCAGGAGGGGGAGCAGCAGCAACAGCAGCAGCCGGATGCGTCTGTCGATGCTGCGGGAAATATCTGAGGGCGGCGCTGCTGCTGCTGCTGCTGCTGCTGCTGCTGCTGCTTGGGACCCTAAAAAGGACTTTTTGTTGGAAATTAAAAACTTGAGTTGTGTTTCTGAAGAAGACAACAAAGAAATATTAAAAGGAGTTAATTTGAAAATAAAAGCCAAAGAAATCCACGCCATCATGGGCCGAAACGGATCCGGTAATCCAAACCCTAAACCCTAAACCCTAAACCCTAAACCCTAATTCGTGGTTTGCGCGTCAGGGAAGCCGCGGGCGCGCGCCTTGACCGCAAACCGCAAACCCTAAACCGAAACCCCAGCGCGTGGAAGGCTCGCGGGCGCGGTTGCAAGGCG